GGTGTCCCTGCCCATGGCGGAGGGTTGGAACTGAGTATCTTTAAGGTCCCTTCCAACCCAAACCAGTCTGTGATTCTGTGATGTTATTTGAGGCATGTCCTTGCCAGAGCAGAGCACCATAAGGCCTCAATCTATCTGCTAGTCAGGCAGGCTGCTGTGTTGAAATGGAAGATCATCTTTAAATCTGTTTCAGCCAGGATCGAGTGATTTTTACATTCAGCTGGTTCTCCACAGGCATTTCCAGAATTATTAGGCAAATAAATTTTGGTGAACATCATATTAATATATCACTACTTGAGGGACTGTTTAATGTCTGTGTATGCGTATTTAGTAGCTCAATCTGCATGAGCAGAGATTTACTCTATCAGAATGAGAGGTGCTGGTCTGGAGTGGTGTGATGCTCCTTGGCCCCACCACCTGCTTTCCAGCAGGATATAACCACTACAGGACTTGAATCTACTGAAACGATCTTTTTTCTTTCCAGTATTTCCAGTTATCTCTGGTACTTACATGTAAACTCCTGTATAGCACCTTACAATAGCCGAGTGTACAAGGTATGCTGTGGCATGTCCCCTTCTGCAGGGCACATCCATCTGCACTTGCACAACCTGGATGTTTATTTGGGCTAGAATTGATCTGATGCAGATGTCACTGGGATAAGGTCTCAGTGTTTGGGGTTTTTTGTTTGGTTGGTTTTCTCCCCCTCTTCTTTTTTCACTTTATCAGTTTGTACCTGCAGATCATCACAAACTGTAAATCTTTACAAGAACATACAAATAAGCAGAGCTGTTCTTGTTGCTTATAGTAACAAAAGAAAATCATATTCTCAGTGGAAAGAAGGTCATGGTAAGCTCCATCAGGGCAAAGATAAAATTGATTAACAAGACTCTTCATAGAGAAAAATGATAGTGATGAAGAAAATAATCTTCTTCTGGAATACTCCAGGGTTTGTGTTGTGAGGGCAGGGTTGAGGCTTCTCTGCTGTGTTTTAAATACCATTTTGTGTGTGGGCTTCATCTCTCCCTTAAGCCCCAGGAGCTGTGAAAGTGCCTGTGAATGGCTGCTGTGGGGTGTCTGATGGTCCCAGGAGCACTGGTTTCAGTACAAAGCACTTGATGCTGTCTTCTCGCAGGGGCAGCTCTGCAGTGCGCTCCTGCAGCCTTCACCTCTGCTCTCGCCCTTCAGCGGATAGAGGGATACCTCTGTGGTAATGAACAATGCAGCAAGTGCTGAGCAAGTACAAGGAGCTGAACGGAATTTATTGCTGGATTAAAATGGGCTGAGTTCTCTGTATTAGGAAAATATGTTTTAGGAAAATATTAAATTACAGGAGTCTCTTAATAGACACAGAGGAGCTAGCAGAGCAGAAAGGTAACTTGAGATGTTTACGTGGTTTTAGTAGCAGGGAAATTTGAGAGTAGATTGTACTTCTCCACGCTGCCAGGATGTGATTTACAGATGTTCTGGTTTAGATGTGTAATGAACAATGTATTTTAAGTGCTGGAGCATTAGTGTGGAGAAGACTGCTGTAATTCCCGTGGGAGAAGAGCTCAGGTAAGCAAGGTTCAGTTCCTAGGAGAGGGCTTCATCATTTTTCCATGTGGCCAAAAATTTGGGGAAGAGAATGTTGCTTGTTCAAGCTTTAAGTGGAACATAAATGTAGCTAAATTTGTTCTAGGACCCAAAATAGCCCAGCAGTGTAAGTTATGGTGCATTATGTTGTGCAGATACTCTTATCTCCCTGTATAGATCCTCCAGTAGTCTGATAGGTGCCTGTACTCCACAGTGTAAGGTGATCTGCTCCAGCACTGCCATCACCTTGCTGGGTGCTCAGGAGATAGGCAGCCAGCAGAAGAGCTCCATTAACAGACTTGAGCCACAATGCAGATTTCACAGTCCCACTGGGGAATGCTGGGGAAGCATTTGGGCTTGTTCCAGGTCCTTATAATGCATGATATTATGGATCACTGGGTTTGAATGCTGTCCAAGCTGGTTATTCCATTTCCATCCCTGGAATCACTCATTCTGCCTCATTTCTCCTGTAGCTGCCTTATCAAGACAATACTCAGTTCAGACAGGAGGTCCTCACCATCATGGAGTGGTCTCTACCTGGGGCTTTAGGAAAAGACTCTTTCCCAGTCAGGAAAACAAGAATTGCACGAACCTCTCCTGGACTGTGTTTTCTCCCTGTGTTCTCTCAGTGGCCCTTCAGCTGGTAACAAAAACAAAGGTCTTGAGTGCGTTCAGCAGGAATTTGGGATGGAAATTCAACAGAAGCCACTCATCCAACATCCAGTATTTTCCCCTAATTTCTTCTTTCTTACGCTCTCCTGATTGGATTTGTCACGTCTGCCATGTTTTTCAGCCTGAAAAATAGTAATTTTTATTCATTTATCTCCCTCCTTTTGCGGCTGCCTCAGCATTAGGATGGGTATCTTGCCCTGCGATGTCCTGGGGGAGCAGCCACCTTGGCCAGCAGCACCCATCACCTTGGCTGGAAGCAGCAGACACTGTGACGTGGGTACCAGTAAAGCATAAAAGTCGTAACACGAGAAACCCCCCGGCTGCTGCTGTGTGTTAGGTGGTGACACAAGATACATAGGTATAGCCTTTCATGAACAGCAGCTAATCAGGTCTTTGGGTATGAAAGTGTCAGCTTGTCCAAAGTACTGTCCTCTTTTACTGCCTCACTTCAAACTTTCTTCTCCTAAAATTGTCACAGCTTCCTCACTCATTTGGCATTTGCACAAGTAATTGTCAAATGTGCTTGGCAGAGCGAAAGAACAAAGAAAACCCAAACCAATTTGTATTTCAAATTTGAATAGTTTTAAGCTGGAATTGATTTGACTCCACATTCAGCTCCTGAGCTGGTGTTAGGACCTAGGAAATGCTGGCTTCTGCACCAGTTAGGACTAATCAGTGTCATTTAAAAAGGAATTTAGGATCTGCCTAGTTTGATATGCTTTCTACTAAATAATGGATGTTTCTGTCTCCACCCTCTCTCAGTAGCAGTCAAAGTCTCCTTGGTGCTGTAGATGGATTTGTTTTAAGCCAGGCAAAAACTTTGCGGGCTCTCCTTCCAATCAGCAAGGCATTGTTACAGCGATAAAAAGGAATGTTAGAGTTGGAACAAAACCCTCTTCTTGAGGAACGATCATAAAACCTTGGATGACTCCATTTTCTATGTTTCTGTTTTACACTTCACGTTAGTGGCTCCATAATCCTGACGAGTGTTTTACAGCATCTCTGTGTGGAGCGTTGTGGCCATGGGAGCTGAGCTAGTGGCTCCACATCCCAGGGGGTCAGTGCTAAGAATGGGAGGTCTGGGCTGTGGGAACCATAGAGGAGACAGAGGAGTTCAGTGGCGATGGGGCAGGAGTGGCTGGTGAGCTGTGGCAGAGCAGGAACCGGCTCCTCTTCTTCGGGAGGGGAAATGGGCGTGGGAGAGGCTCTGCTGGTGGGTTCACCCAGGGGTGGTTGGGGAGTTTTCAAACTGCTCCTTACTGCTCTCCTTGAAGAAGGGAGGTGTGGGACAGTGGTAGTGCTGTAGGAAGGGCTTGTGCTGGGGCTTTCTGTATTGATGAGTTCCCACCACCACGATACAATGGAGGGGCTTCTGTTTGCCTTGTAGGAGATGCTGTGTGTTAACAGGGCAGTTCCTCAGAGTAGGACATTAAAGGTCCTGCAGCGCTCTGAGTGTAGCAGAGATGGAGGTGCTGAAGGGGAGGAAGGGAGGTTCAGCCTTATCCTGGGAATGGCCTTTATGGGCTGTCTCGGTGGGACCAAAGGTCTGGTGCTCTCCCGCCTTACACCAGGTAGAGCGTTTCTGTGTGGAGCTGTGGATGTGAACATCGGGAGGCTCATGCAGGGCCAGGTACTTGCTCAGCAGGTGACGGCTGCTCAGTAAGCTCCAAAGTGGAATTTAACAAAGGCGGGATCCTCTGTCACTGCAAGTGCTCAACAGAAGGCTGAGCTGCGGGGCTGCTGAGCTGGCGTCTGACTTAGAGATGTCTTCTCTGGTGCCAGAACGGTGCCTGAGCCATTGGACAAATCTGCTGGAATTGTTATAGGATCTGACAATGTTGGTGAAGCCTGTGATTCTCTGAGGCTGATGGAAGCCACGTGGAGCCTCTCACCTACATTGTATTTACCTAATCCTCTCTTTCAGTGTAACACAAAAGATCACCTACACCTTTCAAAAGCTTGTGTGCAAATTAACACCTTCCTCTTGACCAAGTGCTGCATACGTACATCTGCACAACATAGCGTCTCTCAGCTGAGAAGGGCGCAGATGTTCTGCTTTTGGGGTTCCTTTCACAGGGTCCAGGCTGCAGTCGCTTGTGTTTGGGGGATGGACCTGTAAGTAGAGGAGAGGAGGGGCAGGAGCCAAATGAGGTACAGGTTAGGAAAATAAATACTGTAAGGCGGGGAAGCAGTGGGAATGTGTTAATGCCAGTTGGCTCTCTGGCAATTAGATGGCCCTGCACAAGTCCCAGGAAAAGAATCCTTTAAGGAAAATGGACCTGCCAGCAAGTGAGAGAGATGTGATTGAGGAGGAAACTCCTGGTGCTGCTCAATAAAACTGGGGCTTTGAAAGAAACTATAGTGTTGGATGGAAAGTTGCTAAAATGGAAGGAAAGTTGCTAAAATGGAAGGGAAGTTGCAGAGCGATGCAGAAGACAAAGAGGTCTGCAGGAACTTGATTGCTGATGCTGACACAGTAGGAGCCCTGCTCAGGTAAGTGAAGGCAGGAAAGGCAGCTCCTACCCGCTTGAGAATGAGCACCTTTGGCCGCTAAAGCTTCCCCCAGCAGTGGGGCTGTGGTGCTCATCATACTGTGGTTGGTCTCTTGCAGCTTTTTGAAGCTCTTCCGTCACAATCCATGTATATCAGACAAAGGAGAAGAGTCCTGTCTCACTGGATGCAGGTCTTAGTCCAAACCCCAGTGGGTGAGAGAAAAGCTTGTCTAACGAACACACAGGGCTCTGGCTATGTGATCCCATAAATGAAGGCTCAGCTTTTCCTTGAGCGTGGAATGTGTTTGCTGGTGTTGCAGGGTCCATGGGTACAGCTCCTCCTGCAAGTGAGTGTAGCTGCTTTGGAGCTGGTCCTCGGTGCTGGAGTGGTGTAGCCCAGGGCAGTGATGGTGGCTGGCCCCATCCCACACCAGACGACTGCGGGCAGGTAGCAGAGACCTGTGTGTAAAGCGGAGCTCACAGCTCTAGTGCGCAGGGCTTGTGCCCACCCTTGCAGCATCTCCTGGCTCCTGCTCATCTTCTTTGCTCTTCCCCAGGCAGCCTCCGCCTCTGCACCCCCCTGAAACCTGTAACAAGCTGCACAAACTGCCAAGAGAGAGGAGACCTCTGTGGGATTGGCAGGTTTCACTGATCTGCTTAAAATTCAAGTGCAGATGGGAATACAGGAGCCCTGGGAAGGTGGTGATGGGAGCTGCAATGTTGTCTCCAAGCAGCATATACCATAGATTAGTACAGACCAAATGATAAATTTTGGGCATCTGATTTCATGAGGTCAGGTAAGGAATCCATCTAAATGAGTGGTTTCATCCTCCTGGATGAAGTACAATGTGGCATACAGTGCAATACCTGCTGTTTCACAGTGAGTTTAATCAGACCTTGCCTTGGTGCCGCAGGGCATCAAGTGGGAGCTCTCAAGGGTTTGTTCTGCAGGATACGGGTGCCTTGGCCCTCTTCTTATCCCTGTGCTGGGAGTGGGGAAAGGACTTGTCCCCACTGTGCAGATGTGGCTGCCAGCCTGGGATCCATCCTACAGGTGTCCGTCTGTCCATCCCACATGGTGCACCAGAGATATGTCTGTCCTGCTTTTTGTGCCTTGGGGCCTGGATGTGAACACTGCCACCATCTCAATACAGGGCACTGCTGGCTGGTGAGGAACTCTCTAGTCCTCTGGGTTGGTGAGAAATGTCTGTGGAAAGGTTTCATGTTCTTTCCTGATGGGTCTGGGAGGGGGAGGAAAAAAATGAATTTTTTAAGGGAAAAGAGTTTCCTTCGTGCTATGGGATTGTGCAGCCTCTCAGGAAATGTTTATTCTGGTGAATGTCTGTGATCAGATGAAGTGGTTGGAGCTGGGTCACTAATAAAACACTAGATATTTGCATTTCTCTTTCAAACTGTGTTCAAAGCACCAGGCATGAGAAGTGGCACTTGATGGGCAATTACTGTTGCATTGGTTGATACCTGACTCAGGTCTGCCTGATGTCTGATCATGCCAGATCTCCAGAGAGGCACAGAGCTCACCTGGGAATGGGTGTTTAAAAGTGCATCATCCAATTCATGTACAAAGCAGATGAATGGCCTTATAAATATGATCAGTCATTTGTTTGCTTAAGTCAATCATTGCCCCTTTGAAAATCCAAATCCCTGTTCATCTTCAGTCAGAGCTGCCAGCTTCTGTTCTCTTTCTAATATATTTATTTTTAATATCTAGCTGCTAGTGTGGCTGCGTTCCGCCCAAAATGCCAGGGGACAAACGTGTGCTACCTCGCTGGTGAGAACACCCTGGGGAAGCAACGTGATTGTGTTTGTGTGTGAGCAGTGACAAAACTGAAGTGTAAATAAGGGCTCAAGCTGTATGAATCTGACACTGCCCTGGGTGCTTCTGGGTGGTAAATCCGTGTGTCCCAAACGGATGAGGTGGCAGGAGGCTGTCTCAGCTGCCACCTGCTGCAGTGTAGAGTCTGTGAGTGAAGAAGGAAGCGATGAACACAAACCTCCCTGGGCGAGAGCTTTTCCTCTTGCAGTTGTGGTGTCTGCACTGCACCAGAGTTAAGCCATGTGAGGCCATTGGGCTTTGGGGTGTGTGGCCCAATGGGATTGTCCTTGTCCCCCAGAACAGGCTTTGTTTCTCTGCTGGCACTGGGAAAGGTGCTAAAATTGCCCCAAGGAGACCTATGATGGGGCCCATCTCTGTAGGAAATAACAACTATTTCATTACATTCAATACAGCCTCATCTCAAAACGTTGCTACTCACAGGGTGTAAGGAAGGGCTGCTGTCCCTGTGGCCCCCAGCTCCATCAACAGCTGTATCTGGGGAGAAGCAGGTATTAATCCAGGAAGGGATATTCTAGGGAAGCAGAGGGGCTGGCTCTGAGGTCAAGTACTGGGAAGAGGTTTGGCCTCAGCGCTGCTGAGGGCTGTTTCTAGAGAAAAAATGTATTTATAGAACGGCCCAGAAATAGCAGTGTGATGTCTCTGCAAGTGCTGCAGGCCCCTTGTTTCCTGCATTTGGGGTGGCTTGGCCATTTAAAGTATTTCAGGCATGGCACAATATCAGCTGCCATCAAAGCTTGCACGGAAGAGCAAGAAGAGCCTGGGCACGGCAGCGGCAGCCCTGAGCTCTCTGCCCAGAACTGCACATGAGCTGTGCCATTCTTCCCCCAACTGTTTTCTTTCTGAGGGTGTTTGCAAGCACTGCAGTCTATTATTAGTATCTTTATGTGTGGAGTGCAAGTAGTTTAGAGACAAAAGGCAGTTCAACTCTACTTAATCCTTCTCTTTACTCCCACCCCGATGCCTGGCTTTCCTATGGGAGCTGCAGCTCTGCCCTTTCGAGTTCCCCCTTCAAGAAGCTGCAGAAAGGATGAGGGGAAGACAAGTCCCCACATTGCTACCCACACACAGCCCTTCCCTGGAACTAAATGCCCTTAAGGTCCTTTTCCAACTCAAACCGTTCTACAATTCTACTGTTTTTTAATCTCCATCCACGTTGGGAACTCGGCAGGATCCCCTCTGCCCAGCCCATTGCTCGCAGGGCTGTGATGGGGCTGCACGTTTGGCACTGTCTCTGTCCGGCTCCCCTCTCCCAGAGGTGGAAACAACCCTGCTCCATTTGCCCCTGGGCAGTGAGACAAGAAGGGGCAAACCTCACATTTTTTCCGTATATCACAAAGTGGTTCTTACCCTGCCAAAATCCAGCAGGGATACAGGCAGGGAAAGGTCCCTTATGCTCCCTGGGAAGTCCCATGCGTGTTTGGCCTGGCTGTGAGCTTTTGGAAAGGGCTGGTGTGCCCAGGCTCTGTGTCAGAGCTCGAAGCTTTTGGCTCTGTTGGGAAATTGATGGCAAAGGAAATATTCCCATTGATTTCAAGAGGCCAAATCAAGGCTAAAAGCCGTGTGCATTAAGTTTCGTTCACTGTAGCATTTGCATTGATTTGTCTTGTACCAGCACTGTTCCATGTAGGAGCAGGACACATCCCACAAGACAGCTTGCAAGATCAGATCTATACCGCGCACAGTTAGGGAGGAACTTCTCTGTGAAATCCGCTGTCTAAAGGATATCTGGCTTTGCCACTACATGTTCTTTCCTAATAAAACCCCTTCCCAACAGCAGCTAGTGCAAACTTAATTTGATATATATAATTTGAGGAGTGAGGGGCTGCAGTATGACCAGAGCTCAGGAGTTATGCATAACAGTGATTAAAATATAACCCTGTCTCCTTCCTGCGGGTGAGGGTTGGGCCTTTTTTTACCCCCGGAGCACTGCTGGGGCTTGTGTGGGGGTGCAGAAGGGCGCCAATCCCTGTGGATACTGAGAGCTGATGAGATGAAATGGAAATTGAGGTTTCCTCAACAAGAGAGGGTGGTTTGGCTTTGCCTTCCTGCAGGAAGAGGCCACCAACTCCTACAGGATCCAGGTGGAAATGAGCTGTGTTGTTTTCCCATGAGACAGGCAAGCAGGACCAAGGGCCAGATGTGGTCTGTGGTTGACTGAGCTTAACTTGCCCCATGGTGAAACCCCACGGACTTGCTCATATGAGCATGGACCTTATAGGAAAACACCAATATGAGCTGTTAGAATGAAGCAGCAGACAGAGGTTCGTCTCATCTGAAGACTGTTTCCATTTCTTAAGCCAAACAACTAAACCACAGCAAAGGTAACACTTTCTGGGTGGGGGGTTGCATGAGAAAGTGGGGTAGTTGTGCATTTTATGGTCTGTTTAATTTATGTGTTGGTGGTTTTTGTGTGGAATCCTTGTATCATGCATGCTCCCCTCTAGTTTAACCAGCTTTTTCTCACAGTAATACCTACAACTGCTTCTCTGGAAGAAACAGTGGTGTTCTTCCCTGTGTTAATGTGATTAACGTGACTGGTGGTTTGGTGTTACAGGGGCTGGAGATTTTGCCCCATTGTATTCTTTGTGGTGTTTCTCTTTCACATGCTCTTTGGAGAGGTGAGCCAAAAAGCCAGCTGTCCGTCTCACCCTGGGCATGTCCCTCTTGGTTCTGAGCCAGACAAACCAGGCTTTACTGGGCTGCATCCCATGCTGGAGGCCAAACTGAGCCCTTCATGCCTAACTGATTACTGAGTTGCCCTCTGCGCTCATGGGGATTTTCAAGCAAAGCAAGTGACCAAGGGAGATACTGAGGCAATGGCTGCATGGGTGGGTAGAGCTTCCATCTGCCACTGTGGTGAGAGCAGGAGGTGCAGGGGTGGGATGTGTGTTAGGGCTAATGTATCAGGGTGTTATTGCAGACAGCAACCTCACTGTGTTTCACCCCTGTGTCCCCTGCATCTCTGGGAGCTGCTGCTGTCCCAGGCTGCCTGGGTGTTGCCCCGTTCTGTCTGTGCTGGGGCAGTAACATGGTGAGGGGCAGTGGCAATGTGGAGGGAGTCCATGGAAAAATCACAGATAAATAGGTGATGGTGGAAAAACCCTCGGTGCAAGGAGATGAGGAGGAGCCCAGGCTCATGAGTGCTGCTCTGTACTGTCCTTCAGGCTACACACTGTGCTTTGCACTGGGGCAATGCTCAGAGCTGGTCCCTGGCTCTACCAGCATCCCAACCTGACCCATCATCCCATCTCACAGCCTTCTCCTTTTTCCCTTGCCTGTAGCTGCCCCTCCTTGGAGATCTCCATCCCTCTTCGTCAAATTAGCCCAGTGCAGCCACAGGCAAGAGCATTCCTGGATGGTGGCTGAGCAGACCCAGGGCTGTTGTGGGACAGAGCTGCACTTGATTTTGATCATTCAAAAGCCTCCTGCTTGCTCCCTGCACCTCCTTGACTCTTTTTCTTTGTAGTACACAGGTGATGTCCCAGCCAGGGGGACACGGTGACAGTGCTGGCTCCTCGCTGCCTTCCCTGCTCCTCTGGCACACAGAAGAAAGGTGTGGGAAGGTAGAAATATTGACTTGGTGTGTGTCCAGCTCCTTCTTTCTTCCACTTTCTGGCCTGGGTCAATCAAGGCCACTGGGCCAGGGCTGGGTTTCCAGCCAGACTCAAGCCTGAGCCAGAGCTCCATCACAAAGCCTCTGTCCCCGCATCTCCTCTTTAATATTTATGTCCTGGCTGCAGAGGTCAAAAATACTTCTAATCGATAAAATAGTTTGACAAAATCAATCAATAGAACATTATAAACAGTGCTGAAAGATGGAGGAGAGATCCTCTGGCTGTAAAACAGTGCTGCTGTGCGAAGCTTCTCTGGACAAGGTGCTTGAATTGCTTTCTGGGCTGCGAGTGCACACTGAAGCCAGCTCATGTTAAGTTTCTCGTCACCACCCCCGAAGTCATTCTCTGCAGTTGCCCTGATCAGGCAGTCTATAACAGATCCTCACAATAATGTCCCCCATTGATGTTCTCCTTTTGACCTTGACTCACAAGCTCTCTGTTGATTCATCACCTGTGCCCAGGCACAGTCATCCCACCATGCTTCCGTGATGCCAATGATATCATATCCCTGTAGTCGTGTACACATCTCTAATTCCTCTTGTTTGTTCCCCATACTATGGGTGTCTGTAATGAGGCACCTAAGCCAAGCTCCAAATAAAGCCGACGCATTGGCTGGAGCGGCTGAAATAGCTCCGCACTGCTCCAAGCATTTATTACAGGTGCTGGCAACTGACCAAGAGTGTCGGGATGGATCCCCCA